GTGTATATATGTTTGTGTATATATTTGTATGTGTGTTTGTATTGTTGTTAACTGCCCTCGAGTGGATCTGGACCCATGGCGACCCTGTGGATGAGAAATCTCCAAGACCCCCTGTCCTCCACTGCTTTGCTTAATGCCTGCAACCCCTTCATACCCATGACCTCCTTAACAGAGTCCATTCATTTGGAATGTGGCCTTCCTCTCTTCCTATTTCCCTCCACCTTTCCCAGCATTATTGTCTTTTCCAAAGAGTCCTCTCTTCTCATGATGTGTCCAAAGTACAACAACCCCGCTTGGACTTCTGGGATTTCTCTTTCAATGTATAGTTGGAGTCTATGTTGCAGAATTTTGAGCATGATTTTGCTTGAGTGGGAGATCAGTGCTATGGTCTTACAGTTGCTGCAGTCTATTGTGACTTTCTTTTTGCGAATGGGAGTATATATTGATCGCTTCCAATCTGTTGGTCATCATTTTTCCCCATATCTGTTGACATATATGTATGTGTATATGTGTGTGTATATAATTGTTGTGTCTTCAATGTTAATTAATTAATCATGGCTGAGCTGGGAATTGAAGCCATGTCTCCAGAGTTGTAGTCCAACACTCAAACCACTATGCCATACTATCTATCTATCTATCTATCTATCTATCCATCCATCCCTCAAGGAAAAGAAAGGTAGATGCAATTGAAAACTACTTAGGCTGCATCGTGAATGTCTGAATGTGCTTGGAAACCTTTTGATGTTCCTGATTGCATGGAGATAATAAAGTGGGTTCAGGTGAATAAACACAGAATCTCCTTCTAGAGGAAAGTTGAATAAGAATGTGCACAACCCACAGCCCCACCATGGCACCACCTTTCCTTGGTGGTTGGATTATGTGCTCCTTTGAGGCAAGATACTATGTTGATGATAGCAGCGCTACTGATAGGGTTTCCCATGCCAGAGAAACTGTTCCTGAGGAGACACACTAAATGTGCCAAACTACTAGGTGGCGGCAGTAGTGGGGGATAACACTGGAGGAGGATCTCTCACAACAGCAGTGGAACCATAACTAATGTTTATTAATACTGTACACAAGGATGCACCAGGAAACCACTTTAAAGATAGGAAAACCTCATGTTCATACATTCAAAAGTGGTTTACCAGTGGCTGCCTCTGTGCAGTACTAACAAGAGTTACTTGACGTGCCGCTGCTGTTGTCTTTGTGAGATCCTGCACCACTGTCACCCCTCACTATTGCTGCTGCCCAGTAGTTGTTTGGCCCATTTATTCTGGTACCTGAGCCCAAGCCTCTCTGCTGCTGGCAGAATCTCCCACATTAATGGTACTGTCAGCATAGGACCAGACAATGCTACTACCACAGAAAGGTAGTGCCAGGGTGGGTGACACTCAGTTTTGCCAAGTAGTATCTTTCACTTTGTTCATGTTCCATTTGATCTTTTCAATCTGAGGATTCTAAAGATTTTTTTTTGGGGGGGGGTGGCTTAGAAAATACTCCAGGGGGGATATATCAACAAAAATGACTGATAATTTGTGTCCCCTCAAAACAACATTGTCTCAAATCCTGTGAAAGTCATGCTTAGCAATAGCATGTACATTATCAGTTAAGTCAGCACATTCTAAGCGGTTTACAATCTGTAAGCTAATTGCCCCTAACAAGCTGGGTATTCATTTTACCGACCTATGAAAGGATGGAAGACTGAGTCAGTTTTGGAGCCCCTGGAATTGAACTCACAACCTTGTGGCTGCAGTACTGGCATTTAACTACTATGCCATCAGGGCTCCCTTAGATTCAATTGGATTCAGTAGGACAAAATAGTTGCAATAATTTCCAGTGGCTAACAGCACCCATCAACTCAGAAGTGAGAATGACTGAATCCAGCAACACTTCATCCCCAGTAAATTAATTTAGCATTGTGGCATTACTTTACCTAGATTTGGACCACAGTGTGGAATAGATTTTACTGAGGACATTTAGTAGACATAAGGGAACAGTGTTAAGAGGTCCATGCAGGCAGCATCTGGGCAGCAGATGATGTAGGGCAGGGAGAAGTGCAAAGTGTCAAGAGGGCACAGTTTGTGCTGCTCTGCTTGCCCTAGGTCTTATCCCAGTGGACTCCTGCTCTCAAGTACAGTAGATTATGATGTCCCACTGCCAGTACTAAAAGTAGGATTAACTGCTTGTTGGATGGGCTTCTGTGCTTTGAATGTATACACTGCTTGATATGGAGTAGATCAAAGGGAAGAGATGGTAGCATCCTGTTCTTTGCCTTATCTTGTGGAAGTCCAGACTCCACCTATTCTTTCTTACTCCCTGTGACCATGTTTGAGATTATCTTCTTGACTTCTCAGAGTGATCATTGTGTTAGTCTTCTGCAGTGAAACAACTAAATGAGCTTTGGAAATTACTTCCTAGAATTAATTTTTTTTCAGTACTTATCGGAGTGTTTTGAGAGTTGGGAAAAAGTAACTTCTTGTGTTATGCATTATTTCTACAGTGTAGATCAGGCCTGCACAACATATGGCCCAAGGGCCACATGCAGCCTGCCAAAGGATTTTGGGCAGCCCACAAAGATGTAGAACAGCTTCAAGGCTCTTCTACTGCACACTTTTCTGTAAAATAGAGGGCAATGGCAAACTCTCTGAACAAATTTTGGTGAGTAAACTCCATGATAGGGTTGAGAGTCACTGCAAGTTGGCCACAACTTCAGTGTACACAAGAAACAAAAAATGTCCAATACCTTTCAAGGGCAGTTTGGTCCACAGCAATTTAAGTAAAGGTATTGCTGGTATAGAATTAAATAACGGCTAAAACTTTGTAAATGCTGGCAGGGGATTTCCAGAGCATTCCTTCCACAAAGGAAAGAAAGAAAGGCTGGTTCTCTGTGAATTCTTAAATTTGTAAAACTGTGAGTCACTTCTGTGGGTCACTGGGGGGTGGCGGAACTAGAAGCCTAATTCTGAGGAGGATTTAGAGTACAGAGGAGAAGTTGCCCAGGGAACAGTGTTTGAGGGGTTCTCCTTTAATTTTTCACTTTTTCTTATACACTTTTTTCCTTAAGGGGCTTGTAGGGACTTCTGTTCAGAGGAAGTGAGTCAGAGACCTGCCTTCAGAAGGAGCTAGTAACCAGGAGCTCTCTAGATAACTATAGGCCCAGTTGATTGAGCTCACTAACAGGGCTTGGGGGCAAAGACCAAAGGGGTCCTTTACGTTGGTGTTTAACAGGGGAAGCCCACAGTCTTGTTTTAGTGCCTCCTTAAGACTACTCAGTATGGTCACTGAGGGACCTACTGCAGTCACATGCAACACTTGTGGGATGTTTGTTTCCTTGCCTATGGATGTGGGGAACTTTACCTGCACCAAGCACAAGTTGATGGCCCTCGTGGAAGAGAAGGCCCAGCAGCTGGAGGCCCAGGTATCTACACTTCAGAATCTTAGGGAGCAAGAGGTTTTCCTGGACAGAATGGAATGAAAACCATGGGGAACACAGAGGGGAAGTTGCTGGGGAGGAGGTCACTTCACATACACAGGAGGTAATAGCTGGAGGAATGTCACACGCAGAGGTAAGGAAACCAGGGATCGTTCTGGGAGCTTGCAGCTACAGAATCAATTTGA